CCTACATGGAATGACCAACTGACAAGCTTATACTGCTGGGTACCGATCGGCCGAAAACGAAATCTAATTAGATCTCTTGCTACTCGCGTCCGACGCATCTGCAGGACTGATACTTTGGAAGAAGAACTACACTTTCTGAAAGAAATCTTAGTACAAAACCGATGTCCATCAAGATTCATAGACAAAAATATCAAATAGAAAATCCAAAAGCACACCCTGTCCAAGAGGATTCAAGAACACTAAACAGCGTGATTGCAGAAAGGAAGTATTGGCTGTATAAGAAGTTCAATAATCGAACACCTCGTCAACACTGGTCATTCCGTCTCAACAAACGCCTCCTGCTTCAAAGTAATCTACAAAGTGAAGAAAAACCTGCCAAAGACAATACGTTTCCAACTTCTTTGCATTTCACAAGCTCTAACCATTCAGTGATGAGAACCAGAACTATGCATACAAAAGAAAATTACTCAACCACTTCTACTATCATGGCAACAACTCTGTCCATTTGACTTAACTTTTGCTTTCTTGCTTGTTTTTCTTCTAACTATTTGAAACTCTAGTACTCCTTTAAAACTTGCGTAATTCTGTATTTTATTTTGCTTCTATATTCACCCTGAGCACAACTCTTTCATCAAACTATTCATGTTATTCCATATTAGTTTGTTTATTAAATGTATCACACAGTGAAACAATATTATTTACTTCATGACGTTTCGAACAAAATTTATCATTGTTCATAATCATATCTTCACTTATAATCACACGACTTTGAAACTTGAGTTTTATAGTTTTCTTTGTCCCCTCCTATTCATCGTTGTAGGGGAAATAGAATTTTCCAGATATCTGGGTGGACAGGTGTTGAATCATTCCTATTACATGTATTTGCAGTTGATTCGATAAACAAAGCTTCCGTTATCAATCTCTCCCTCCACCCTGCTACTACATTAGATTTTAAAACTGTCATCTTATCCCATCCTATTGCATGGGTTTTTATGCTCCGCTAGTCCGACTGCCTCTGTTCGACTACTTTGACCTATGTATTTGACCTGACAATCATCACAGGCAGGGTATAAGATAAATTAAATTGTTTTGTTCAGTTGGCTCCACACACAGGATCCTTTAACGAGCAAAGCTTGTTTCTAATTGAGTTTATGCGTGGTTTGGGTGCCAGCCAGTTTTATTCTTGCCTTGTTAAGAATTCTGCGTAAGATGGTTTCCGAGGTTCCTTCCTTGTATGGAATTACTACTGGTGATTTAGACTCCTTATTGTTGGTGTTGTCTTGCGCATATTTGACAGGCATGTCGTCATTTATATTTTGTTCGAAACGTCATCCAGTAAATAATACTGTTTGATACATCTAATACACAAACTAATATGGAATTACTTACTAACACAGTGTCCAAGTTTTACACATATTACATATATTCATGTTATTGCGTAACTCTTCTTTAACAGTTGTTCGTGACAACTCATCACTCTTGTTACACTATCCTCTTGTATCAACATCCAATTCCTCTGAACGCCTTTTGTATAACGTAAATCCACCAAAGGCTTACTAATTTTCGCCTTCTTAGTTAAGGCAACCCTAACCAATTGTATTTTCGTTTGAAAAATTCTAATGTACACATACATACAAAATAATCCATACATATATTTGCGATTGTACAGCGAAGTGAATGAATTCGCCGCCGAAAAGATACTCTTCGCTGAACTTTGTCATTCTTATAATATTCAATTAAATAACTATAAGATCAGATGGCCAGAAAAGATCAGCAACAGAGATCTCTGGCAATGAGAGAACCAACACTGCAGGAACCGATTGTGAAACAAATAGGCAGGAAGAAATGGAGATGGATTGGCTGGCCATACTCTGAGGAAACAAACCATCAAGTGACATCATTAGACAAGCCATTGCTCGAGTGGAACCCGAATGGGAAGCGGCGAGTTGGTCGTCAGTGCAAGGGTGACTTGGAGGAGGTCATGTGAAGAGGAGATGAAAACGTGTGGGCAGACATGGAGCCAGGTGAATACTCTAGCAGAGAACCGAACGCAATGGAGACGCACGGCTGAAGCCTTATGTTCCTCTAAGAATTAAAGGAAACAATAATATAATATAATAATACTACAATCTAAACTTCAAAATTATTTTCTTTTGTTGTTGTTTTAGGTTTTAGATTATCACATAATACATTTTTATGATTTTATAAAAATTGTTTTATCAAAATGAAAATGCGTAGAAGGAAGGAAGGAAGCAGAGAGAGAAGGTACGCATTTAACGGATGATTACATAACGGTGCTTTCCGTCTCCCGTCTCCCCCTTCTCCATGCTACGCTGATGTGAAAGCGTTCAAAAGGAAAAAAACGGAAAACAGTTTCCTTCCTCTCTCTCTTTTGTTTTTGAAAACAAACAAGCAAACAAACGGAATAATGCCGTAAATGTAGATGGGGAAAATAAAAAAGGAAGTTTAATCTTTCCGCGTCATTAAGTGCATTTTATTATATTGGTTGTTTAAAATATAAAGTTGAAATACTCATTCAAACTTTTAAACAAAAAAAAGACGCCAAAAAAACAAAACCAAATCACCATTTAATTATTAATATGCAAATTAATTAGTTAATTTGTACTTTCCAGTATGTAAAGCTATTATTATTATTATTATTATTATTATTATTATTATTATTATGGTGATTATATTTAGACGATCACATGGTTCCATTACGTCATAGTGATTTACTGTTCATTTGTGGCTAACTATCCATGATATATGTATTATCATTTATTATCATTATTATTGTTTCCTTCAGTTCCTAGAGGAACATAGTAATTCAGCCACACGTCTTCCCTGCTTTCCGTTCTCTGCCAACGTTTTCACCTGGCTCCACATCTCCTCTCATGCTTTCATCTCCTTCTTAGATCACCTCCTCTATGTCACCCCACCGACGCACTGACGACCAACTCGCTGCTTCCCGTTCGGCCAGGTTTCACTCGAGCGATGATCTGGCATGTGATGTCACTCACTTCATGGTTTGTTTCCTCAGAGTATGGTCAATCCACCTCTATTTCTTCCTGCATATTTCTTGTACAATTGGTTCCTCTTGGGTTGGTTCGCTCATTGACAGAGATCCCTCCCTGCTTCTGATCTTCTCTGGTCGGCCATCTCATCTTGAGTAGTATTGAGCGAAGACAGCAGTTGATGGTCTGTAATTTGTTCGAAATGGCTTTCTTGACGCTTTCCCGATCCTCGCTACTTTGATATCCTCATCAGTTCCGTCTGCCTATAGTTGAAACGATGCGTTCCAGGTAGATAGGTAGGTGAATGAGGTTGCTTCTTTCAGATTTCTATAAAACACAAAATAACTGAGCAGAGAATATCCTTTCCGATAATTCCCTCTTCTGTCTCTACAATTATATGTATATATATATATATATATGTTTATACACATAGAATATTGTAGAATAGTAGTCAATAACAATATTAGTGTCTTTTTTAAATAATATCGACTTGCAAAGTAAGATTACAATGGAATTGTAGTTCATTAAAGATGCTTAAATTTTAATAGTAATAAAGATATAACAGCAAGTGAAATTAGGAAAATTCCACAAAATTGAGGATCATTCAAACCTAAATGGCCAAGGCAAGACAATGTTTGAACTAACTTCTTTCGGACGCACAAATCAGGCTTCTTAATATGGATCTCAACAGCCAGCCTCAGCAGTATTTAATAATCGAACTCTTAAGGCGAAATTGAGATTCATAGGTATGCGGTAAATGACCCTGAAAGCATGGTTAACATCAATCTTGTGTTCTGTATCCACAAGATGAGATAGAATAGCGCTACGAATAGATTTTGCCACACAGGGTAAAGTTCGGAAATTCGACGATAAACACGCCTAGTTGTACGGCCTATGTAACTGGCTCCACAGGAGCAGTTGTCTGTTGTTGCTACTTGCCAGGAATCTTCATCACCACATCTGTTTTCTCTATGTTCACCTGAAGTCCTATCTTCTCTGGATGCTTCTTCTGCAAAGTTATTACTTTTCGCTTGCATATCTTCCAGGCCTTTTCATTATGTATACACACGCTGTTTTTATAATTTAATACACTTATCAAATTCAACAATCTACACCTGGTTTTGTTATCTTTACCAATTGGCCAATTTGACAACGCAAAAACGAACCCATGCTGATGAACGATGATTAAGTCGTTATATATATATATATATATATAAGCTGAGATTTTGTAAATTCTGGTTTTATAATACTACTTTGATAAAGCCATTAAATGGCGAAACGTTAGTAAAAACAATATCGTTTTCAAGAGTTGGTTTGTACGGATTAGACTTGTTTTTAGAAGTTTGACCACGGGTTGATATCAGTAAGAGAACCATAGAAAACCAGCCACAGGAAGTACTGGACAGCTGTTTCCTCCGTCCTAGTTTGGGAATCATCGGTAGTACGCACTCACCCCAAAAGGGGTTCTAGCTTGTAGACCATTCAGCCACTGGGACTCAATTCAATGACCAGCCCATGAATTCTAACTTCTACAAATTGGTGATTTAGCGCGGCTGGCACCAACCAATGTCATCAGTGGGAAATCCGTCCTCATACTCGTCTTGTTTTTCATTCTTTCATTGGGAAATACGAAAAACGCTTTTATCATAATTAATATCATAAACCCAATGCCCAAATTATTTTTCAAACTGTTAAAAGTGAACTTGGCTTGGACATATATGAGAATGCAGACAATAAACAAAAATGGACAACATGCGATGGATGTTGACGTGGGGAGGGGTAGGAGAAGACCATTTTGCCCAATCCTATTTTTGTTGTTACTCTCCTTACTAATCATTTACACTGAGCACACATCAATTACTTTTTTTTCTATTATGATTAATACCCAATAGTATGTTTTGATGCTGTAATGACCAGAAAGATGGTTGAGGATGCAAAACAAACAACACAAACAAACAAACAAACAGAAAACAAGGCAAAGAAGAATAAAAAATAAACAAAATTTTTATTATTTTTTAAATTCTTGGTGTTTTAAACAACAGGAAAACACGTGATCCTATACGAAAACAGAATGAATGTCCTGGTTGATAAGAGTAGAATGAGGCATATTGACCACGGACTATAACACAATGCCACAGACGTTTGAATTTTTGATCTAAGCGTAATTTAATCCATTTGACTAATTCCTATGTGAGTAGAAAAGAAAGAAAGAGAAAAAAACATGGGGTAAAAAAGGTTCATCAAACTGGTCGACTGAATTAGTGAAAGCTAAAACTGATTGTAAGGTGTTTCCGTGCCACAATTTGAGGTTAGGCGTTGAGTGCTAGGTAGGTGGGATAGAAAATCAATAGACGAGGCTGTGAAATTACATCGGCTGAGATGGTTAGGACATGTGTTACGTATGCATTCCTAGTCATCGCCTTCCTCGACGGGCAATGTTCGCTGACATAGGGTCAGGCAGGAAAAGTGCTAGCGGTGGTCAAATCAAAACATGGCACCGGTCAATGAAATCCACAACACGTAGGAATGTGTAGACTTACTGACTGGTTGGGGTCCTCGGGACGGTAAAACCCAATGGTTGGAAAAAATCCGTGATATGGCTCAAAATCGTTCTCAATGGCTGGTGCAGATGCATTCACTCCTTGTGACTTATGATTTCCAATGAAACTATATTATTCTTCGTTATTACTATTCCTTTGTCTCACACCTCTGTTTACTGTATGTATTATGCATTTCTACTTTCTTCTCTTGCTTTGTGTGCTACATGGAGTAGAGTGTGGCAGCTTGAACTGCTGCACATCGGTGGAAAGTTCTATGTCGAAAACAGACAGATAGATTCCTCAGTAGATATTCCAGTTGTTGTTGCCCTAGTAAGTGAATGTGATTACGTAATCTCTGGTTTTGACCTCTTCGCCTTCGTTATAATGTAATTTTGTTTGTCTCTTGATTCTATGATTTGAATTTGATTGAACTCACCACATTCGTGCCTAACTTATTCGTTAGTCATCCACCTCTTCACTTAAATTTCTCAACTCCTTTGCCCCTGGTATCAAGCCCTTATTTCATTTTATGTATTCTTATTATATATAAGCGTTTCTTTGCAGGGAATTGATCGGTTACAGTATTTCACAAAGAGCTGACATCTGTTAGAATACCATTGGAAAGCCAGCAAGGGAGTACTGACAGCTGTTTCATCAGCTTAGCTTGAGACTCTTCAGCAGTACGCATACACCGCACCGGCTAGAAACCAGTACCTTCTGGTTACAAGCTGAGTAAGCTCATAGACCATTAAGCCACTCGGACCTCATCCATTTGCCAGCCAAAGAATTCTAACTTCTGTCAATTCATGACATAGAGCGACCACTTCACAATGTCTTCTTCGATGAGTTACTGCCTCATACCTCCAACCTGTTGTACGCCACTGGTCACGGCTTCTCACCAGAACCTCAGGCAACTACCTGTCTGAATAGAGCCAGTTGCTAGTGTGCATCAGATCAATTTTCCAAGTATTGGTTTCTTGATGGATTTGTTTTGATTGGTTGGTGGATTTCATCTGAAGGTCCTGGGTTCGAACCCCAGTTGTGGGTGCGTGCCCCTGAAGAGTTCCAAACTAGGACGAAACGGCTTGCCAGTACTTCGTGTTGTTTTCCGATGGTTCTTCCTCTAAGTGATGTCAGTTCATGATGAAATCCTCCAACCAATCAAACAAAAAACAGCCTACAAAAACATATTATCCTGCTCAGTGTGTTGTTTCGTGTCTCATTTAAATTTTATTATGATACCGACACATCTGAATGCAAAAGAGATGCAACGCCAAAGCCCTATGTTTCACTCGGTATCCAAAGGACGAATAATAATGATAATAATCATGGCGTATCGATTAAACTTGAGAATTTGTCTATGAAATGTTGCAACTACTTAAAAGTATTTTAAGTATTTTCATTTACTTTTCAAAAGGGATTAACATCAGTTAGAGAATCAACTACAACTATTAGGAAGTATTGAATAGCCGTTTCGCCCTAATTTTGGACTCTTCATCAGCACTCAATCATGACACAGCTAGGGAGGAAATTCAAAGATTCCAGTAAACCAAAAACAGCTCATTAACAATTCCACCAATGGAATAGAATAAAAACAGACCATGAATTCTAACTCTGGACAACCTGAAAGTTCTAAGTTTGATTTCCAGTAGGATGATGCGTAATTACTGGCGAATAGTTCAAAATTGGGACGAAACAGCTGATCAAAACCTCGTAATAGTTTTAATTGGCTCTCTAAGTGACGTCAGGAAGGAAAAATTCCCGGTTGCAAATAGCTACCTGAATCGTTAACAGAATAATCGATATTTTAAGAGATTTCATACACAAAAACTTCTTAACTTTGAACAAAGAAAGAAGAAACATTGTCGCAGGGTAATACGGACGCAGTTTCGGCTTGGTCTTCATACCAGAGTTGATTTCTGATCCTCTGATCTTTCTATTCATTGCATTACATCATCATAGTGTCACTCGACTTCCTACATACCAATCTATTGAGTTCTGCTCACTGATCATACAATTATCCCTGACTCATCACAACTCCGACAACAACACCTGTTCTCTTATATATACCTTGTGGCCGGTGGTGCTCTACCAGTTGAGAGAGCTTTAAGATCCAACTAATGACCAGATCTCGTGGTCTAACACTGGTTAGAATCCAGGGATGTCACAGATTTCCACTCCCTTTCCCACCTACTATTACGATAATATAATCACTCTAAAATTTTGATAGCATTATTAGAAGACGGAGATTATCTGAAAAATGTGATGTATTAGCGCCAGACTACCAACTTCGTCTATAGCTAAACATTTAATCGAGATGAACCATAAGGTTGATGTTAACTCAGCCTTTAAGGTCATCTATAAAAACGGTCAAGGACGTTTACTGAAATACGCTGAGGCTATAGCCATTCTTAAACTTAAGCCCCCCTTGTGTATTCAAAAACAGTTTGTTATTACTCTTAACCTACCTTGGTAATCCTTATTTGATTGGATTACCAAACGTTTGTGTTAATTATTCTTAATTCTTTTTTTGTCACCTTGTTTAATTTAACCTTTCCATATATATTGACTTGACAAGTAAATGTGTGATCAGATTGTTCGAAATGTATAGCGCTAATACATCACATTTTTCAGATAATCTCCGTCTTCTAATAATGCTATCAAAATTTATAAAAGGGATTAACTTTTTAAACTCTAAAATTTATTCGTTACCAATAATTAATCGTGAGTATTTAAGACTATCTGGAAAGACAGATTTAAGTTTCGAGTTCTGGAGTTTCAGTAGTGGCGGTGAGTTGCAAGCCTCGCTACCTATCTGCCCTCTTTTCTCCGAACTTACTATCAGAGCTGGGCAAGGCTTAAGAGAGTGTCGATCAGGCGCTGAACCAAGGATAGTATGTGTGATTAGCAAGTATTCTAACACTGTGCAATCACACACAGCACCATTAGTCATTAGTGTTAGTCATGGAATAAAGAAATATTAAAAAGTCATTAAGCATACAAAAATAATCCATCCATGTCAGTCAAATAATACTATCATCCGTAAAAAAAGGATGATTTCACCGTGAAAATTATACGATATTTCAAAATACGTTTCGATGAACATAGTGGAAAGGTCAATCAGTTTATCGAATAGCTTTGAAGCGTGAAACGGAAACCTAGTAGGCCATGACATTGAAGTATTTAGACTTCAAATCATCACACCCTATCAGCGCAAAGATTCCAGTTGTTTCAAGTCTTCTTAGACGAGCACACTCTCTGATAATAACGGATGAGAAAGAAAAAGGAGAAGAAATATCAAACATTACTGAAACTCTCCTCAAGCAAAACAATTACCCAAGGAACTTCATCAACAAAATCAACACAGACATTAAGTATGGTCGAAAACGCATTCCGAAAACATGGACCTCGATAGTCGTCATTCTATATAGAGCAGGGACGTCGGACGATATCAGAAGAGTACTCAATCAGCTCGACATTAGAGTTTTCTTCAAAACATCAGACACACGCTGAAAATCAACCTTGTCCATATAAGAAACCAAATCCCTAAGGATTCTCTATCTGATGGTGTCTATAAAATGAAATGCTTGGAATGTGATGTGATATACATCGGACAAACTTCCCGAGAAATCAAAATCATAAGAAATGAACACCATAGAGCCGCATCTGTCCGACCACCGAGAAATCCGGTTGAACTAGAAAAGCTTGAAAAATCATCATCCATAGGTCTAAACGCTACGCTAAATAATCAAGCCACAAGATTGATTTTGACAATATTGAAAAAATTCAGAAATCACAAAGAACGTTTGATATCATCAGAAGCACTTCATATCAATTGGAATCCAAATTGTCTGAACAGGAATCATGGACTAAAACAGAATGTGACCTGGTTACAACACCTCCCTTCACCATGAAGTGACAAAATCAACACGAATGTGATAAGCAAGTTCACTATGTAAACACACACTACCTTTATAATTTTACACACTGATCAAATCCAACAATCCACACTTGATTTTGTTATCTTTACCAATTGACCAACTTGACAACGAAAACTGACCCCAGAGAGACAAACGATGATCAAGTTAGTAAACTTTGTTTTGATACCAAAACAGATGTACTATTACCTTTGTTATTTGGTTTAGTGATCTTCATTGTTATTTTGACTTTCAATATGTCCTTTTAACTTGACCCAAGTCTATTTTCTCACCCCTTAACTCTTATGCTGAGATTTTGTAAATTCCGGTTTAATATTACCACTTTGATAGAGCTATTAGCATTAAATAGCGAAACGTCAGTAGACACAACAATATCGTTTTGTTTTTCATTCATTGGGAAATACAAAAACCTTTATTATAATGAATATCATATACCCAATGCCCAAATTTTTTCAAACTGTTAAAAGTGGACTTCGTTTGGACATATATAAAAACACACCAATGTTCAAATGTGCGTCGGTGGCATAGGGGTTAGGACGCTCGCCGACCATGCACATGGTCCGGAGTTCGATTCCCGGCCGACGCACTCGTTTACCTCACTGAGCCAGAAATAATGCTGGTGAAGAGGAAAGGTTGGGCATAAGGCTAGCAACCCCATCCTGTAAAAATAAACACCACTGCTACAGAAACTTCAAGCCACTAGCTTGAAGCCCTATGTTCCACTGGGGAACGTGAAGGATAAAAAAATGTTCAAATAATACAAAGTATATCGCATATATGTACACCACACTTATGTAATTGTGAACACAGATTTGAACGACTCACTTTATCATCGTCTTCATAAAGTTTTTCACCTTTTCTGACAATATTCACAATCACCTTCTTTAATCCAATCGGCATATCACCTGATATTTCTTGATAATTCTTCAAATCGGTTAACTCCTCAGATAAACCCTGTAACAAAATAATTTTGTAAAAAACAAGAAATTATTATTATTGTTTCCTTTAATTCCTAAAGGAACATAGGGCTTCAGCCGTGCGTCTCCATTGCGTTCGGTTCTCTGCTAAAGTCTTCACCTGGCTCCAAGTCTGTCCACACGCTTTCATCTCCTCTTCACATGACCTCCTCCAAGTCACCCTTGCATTGACGACCAACTCCGCCGCTTCCCTTTCGGGTTCCACTCGAGCAATGGCTTGTATAGTGATGTCACTTGATGGTTTCCTCAGAGTATGGCCAGCCAATCCATCTCCATTTCTTCCTGCCTATTTGTTTCACAATCGGTTCCTGCTGTGTTGGTTCGTTCCCAGAGATCCCTGTTGCTGATCTTTTCTGGCCGGCCATCTGATCTTGAGTGTTGAGCGAAGACAACTGTTAATGAAGGTCTGTAGTTTGTTTGAGATGCTCTTTATGACGCGCCAAGTCTCTGATCCGTATAGTAAGTATCACTGACTTCACATTGGAGTTGAAAATCCGGATCTTATTTTTGATACTGAGTGTTGTTAACCTCCACACAGACTTGAGAGTAGTGAAAGCTTGTCTTGCTTTTCCGATTCTTGCTTTGATATCCTCGTCAGTTCCGCCTGTAGTTGAAACGATGCTTCCCAGGTAGGTAGGTAAAGGAGGTTGTTTCTTTGAGGTTCCTTCCATTTATGCTGATTGTTGTCAGTTGTTGTTGTTGCTGTTGATGGTGTTGCCCAGGAATCTTCATCACCTCTGTTTTCTCTATGTTCACCTGAAGTCCTATCTTTTCTAGATGCTTCTTCTGCTAACTTGTTGCTTTTCACTTGCATATCTTCCAGTTTGTGGGAAATCAGACATATATCATCGGCGAAGTCCAGATCCTCCAAGTTTCTTTTTGTGTGTGTCCATTTTATGCCTGTTTCCTCATTGCCCACTGTTTGTCACATTATCCAGTCTACTGCAATCAAGAAAATCATTGGCAATAGTAGGCAGCCTTGTCTTACTCCTGTCCTCACTTCGAAGGGTTCCGTAAGTTTCCCATTGTGGATTACTTGGCATGCAGCATTGTCGTACAAATGTTGGATGAGATGTCTAATTGTCGGTGGCACCCCGTAGTAGCGAAGTAGTTGCCAAATCACCTCTCGATCGACGCTGTCGAAGGCCTTTTCAAAGTCGATGAAGTTGAGATAGAGAGGTGACTGCCATTCCAAGCTTTGTTCAACGATGGTCCGTAATGTGGCGATCTGATCAATGCATGACTTGTTTCTCCTGAATCCAGCTTGTTCCGGTCGAAGTTTTTCATCCAGGGCATGTTTGATTCTCTTCAGGATGATGCGGCTTAGTATTTTGCTTGGGATGGACAGGAGCATAATTCCGCGCCAGTTCTTTCATTGACTTAGGTCTCCTTTCTTTGGTAGTTTGAATAAGTAGCCTTTTTTCCAATCCTCGAGTACTTTGCCTTCATTCCACACCTTTTGCAGTAGTGGCGTCATCAAGTCCGCTGTTGTTTCTGGGTCCATTTTCAACGCTTCTGCTGGGATTCCATCTGGTCCTGCTGCTTTTCCAGCTTTTAGCATCTTGATTGCCTTCTTATGGAGACGTTAAGAAATGTTTTACAACTGTTTACCCACACACACATGCACACTGTGTTTAAAGTGTTTAACAAAGGTAGACCAATATTTGTAAGTCCGACGTCAAATTTTGATCACAGCTCATACAATTTTGTTTACTATACTTGTTGAATGACTCATGATTGGACAAATTTTCAAAAACAAGTGATGTTCCTTTTTTATATATAAACCTCTGTTATGTTAATTTCGATTAATTTCCCTGAAGAAGTTCGGACCAGATTGCTGAACACAGGAAATGTTGGAATTACTCATTTCAATCTCGCTGAGATTTTACAAAAACATTTCATTGCTAATAAGAATGAGTAATCAACAATTAACAATCAATGGATAATGTGGCACACTGAGTAGTTCAAACAACTAAACTTTCACAAAGGTATAAGTTTCATTGAAGAGATGGGGTGACACATAATAAAGGTAATAATGGAGTAAAGTGAACTAAGTGGAAAGGAATAAGAAAGGCAAGACATGACATGAAAATATGGATGATTATGTCCCTGCTGAAGAGGCAGCGAAAACAGGACTGCAGGTGAGCACAGAGAAGACGAAGGTGATGAAGATAACCAACTACCACTAAGAGCAACAATAACCACAAACTGCACTAATCACCATCAACAGGAGAGATTTCACAGAGGTCACTTCATTCACTTATCTAGGAAGCATCGTTTTAACTACAGCCGACGGCATAGATGAAGATGTCAAACCCAGTCAGTCAGAATCGAAAAGGCAAGGCCCACCTTCATCAGTCTGAAGCCAGTTTCGAAGTATCCTGCACTCACTCAGTCAGCCAGTCAGCATAAACAACAAGATTCGTTCAGATTGTGTTTAACACAAATGGGAAGTCAGTTTGTCAGTCAGTCAGTCAATGAGTTCTTCTATACCCATGAGAACCTAGCACTACGCGTCACAGAGGGGATATCAAAGAGGCTACTGTGAACGTTTATCAACAGTTGCCCACTTTGCTGAAGATCAAATGGTCGGCCTGTTGACCAGCCAGCCAGAGAGAATTAGCAAGGATAAACTCTGGCTGGTGACGAACAAACCAATGAAGAGTCGATTGCTCGATCAACAAATGTGTAAAAGGAAATGCAGATGGATAGAATGTGCATATGTTGAGGGGACCATCAAATGACATAGAGCGCAATGCAGGCCATCACTCGAGTGGAATCCGAATGGGGAACGAGGAGTGGGTCGTTGGTGTGAGGGTGACATGGAGGAGATGGTGTGTCGAGGAAGAGGAGGGGGAGGAGAAGGAGACGATGACAGATTTTGGTAAATCATGTGGCTAACCAGCTGAAGAGGAGTGCAGAGAATAGAACAAAGTGTAGGTGTATTGTTGAAGTCCTGTGTTCCACTCGGAACCCAAGAAGGGAATAATAACATATACATATATATGTATCACCTTTACAAAATATTTTCTCGGTGAAATTGTTTCACAAGGTTTCTCCGTATTTAGTTTATTCGAAAATTTCATTTCTACTGCTAATTCTGATTCACGCTTCAAAGCCATTTTTTGACGATAAATTGACCTTTTCACCGTATTCATCGATACGTGTAGAAATAGATTGAATAATTTCCGTTATAATATCATTCTTCTTCAATAATAGTAACAATAATAGTAATAATGATTGACCTATTATATTGAATGATGGTTCAGTGGTAGAACGCTCGTCTGCCGCACACACATGGTTTGGATTCGATTACCAGTCGGTACTCAGAAATATTGCATAGCCGATGGTAAGGTTGAGAACGAGGAATAGTTGGGCGTGATGCTAGCACCTTCACTCCTCGATAAAAACAACAAAACCATCGATGCTGAAACTTCCACGCTGAAAGCTTGAAGCCTCCATGTTCCAATCGGAACGGAAAGGAATCAAGAAAAAAAAGTGATATTGGGTATTTCCTAGTGGTCTACAATACATACTCATGGATATTGGAAACCAATAAATATTAGCGATGATTGGAGGGGAAGTACAATTCTGTAACTCTGCAGGATATATATATATATATAGGATGGATACTCGTACTGCTTTGCTACTCTCGAGTAGCGCTCACTCATCAACCTACTGGTAATCGAACCTAGGACTCTGATGACCAGTTGCCTGTCACTAGCCTGTATGAGATTATTTTACAAAACTGGAAATCACGAAGTAATCTAGGAATTCTAAAGAATACGTTTGTAGAGTCTCAGTTTTGACCACGCAATGATATTACGTAGACAATCATTAGAAACTAGTAGGAAGTACTGAACAGTTATTTCACCATAGTTTTGAACTCTTGAACATTTCGCTTCAGTGACCCCATCCCTTCCCCAACACTGGGATATGAATCCCTAGTCAAACATGAAACCAGTCAAATCTTTACAAACTACCGTTTGAAGATTTCCATTTGATTGATGAAATTGCTTTTCAAGAGTTTGGTTTTTAAGGATTTGATTTGGTTTTACGAGTTTGACCACGGATTAATATCAGTCAGAGAACCATTGAAAAGCAGCCACAGGGAGTACTGGACAGCCGTCTGATCAGCCTAGTTTACGAATCATTGGGAGTACGTACCCAATGGGTTTCAAACCCAGGACCTTCCGCTAACAAGGCAAGCCAACTTGTAGACCATTTAGCTACTGGGACCCGATCCAATGGCCAGCACATGAATTTTAACTTCTTCCAATTCGTGATTTTGGTGCGACCACCAGCCGATTTCACCGGTAGGAAATCCATCCTCACACTTTAGTGGTTGTATGTCGCTGGTCACAACTTCTCAGTAGAATTCCACGCAACTTCGTTGTGTAGCCCGCCAGCCACTAGGGAGCATCAGATTAATTTTCTAGAGTTTGTTTGTAAGGATTACATTAGTTTTTCAAGTTTAACCACTGACTGACTGGTCGCACTAAATCACGAACAGGTAGAAGTTAGAATTCATGGGCTGGCCACTAAATCGGATCCCAGTGGCTGATTGGTATACGAGCTACCTTGCTTTGTAACCGGAAGGTCGCTGGTTCAAACCTCAGTGGTTGCGTACCGCCGAAGATTCCCACACTAGGATGAAATAGCTGGCTTTCCAGTACTGCGTACTGATTTTCAATGGTTCTCTAACTGATATCAATCCATGATTAGATTAAACAAAATACCTAATCTCTATCCACACATATTGGTTCCCTGGTACAAATGAGTCCACATCGCCGTTAGGATTAACATGATTTCACTTGTTTTGATGTTGGCTGACTTTGAAATCCAGAGGATACATCAACTGTACTGAATCTGGAGAGCTACATTTTGTGCACAGAGCGCTCACATGAAGGTATTGTCGAAGCATCCATTCTAGGGGTCAACATATAAATAGAGATGGAGCATTTCAGACAAGTGCGAATCAATCAACGGACGCGTCTAACCCTTTGGAGTTTCAAACAGTGGGTATTGGGCTCGAGTCACCACCAATCATTAGGAATGCAGGTCCAACCAAACGGATGAGTCTAAAATAGTAGCATCTCGTGATTGTAACATCACACCTAAAACCCAAAGCTATTTAATGCTCCTATGTTGAAGCATAAAAAAGCTGGACAAATGGAAAGAAAATGAATGAATCATAATCACACGCATATACACACATACATCAGTCTAATTAAATGTCAGCCAGATCTCTGACGAAATCTCAGCACGAATACAGAGGGCTAGGTTCGCATATGCCAGTTTACGCCGTCTCTGGCGTAGTAGACGTGATGTCCTACTATCGACTAAAGGGCGTGTGTACTGCTCATCAGTCCGCTCTGTCCTCATTTATGGCTGGCTGTGAAACCTGGCCATTGAGAGTGGGAGACATGAAAAGATTAGCTGTCTTTGAACATAGGTACCTGCGTTCTATCTCCCGTGTGAAGTGGTATAATAGAGTGAGCAATATTGAGGTTAGGCATCGGTCGAGTGCTAGGTAAGGACTGGAAATCAATCGAAGGGGTTGTGAAATTACATCGACTGAGATGGTTAGGACATGTATTACGTATGCCTAGTCATCGCCTTCCTCGACAACATGCAATGTCAGGTGACATAGAGTCAGGCTGGAAAAGAGCAAGCGGCAGTCAAACCAAAACATGGCACCAGTCAATGAAATCTACAACAGTTAGTTCAGGCCAGCTACATAGGAAGGTGTAGACTTCCTGACTGGTTGGGATCTTCGGGACGGTAAAAACCAATGAAGGCTAGAGACAATTGATGATATGGCTCAAAATCGTTGTCAATAGCTGGGTCAGATGCATTCACTCCTTGTAACTTATGATTTCCAATGAAACTGTTTTGTTCTTCGTTATTACTATTCCTTTGTCTCATACCTCTGTTTACTGTCTAAATTATGCATTTCTTCTACTTTCTTCTCTTGCTTTGTGTGCTGCATGGAGTGTGGCGACTTGAACTGCTGCACATCGGTGCAAAGTTCTATGTCGAAAACATACAGACAGCCAGACCAATGATGTGCGTCGGTAGCACAGTGGTATAATGCTCGCCCACCACACATATGGTTCGGGGTTCGATCTCCGACCACTGGACGCAATTCTTTACCTCACTAAGCCAGTTTTATGTCTGGTAAACAGGGAAGGTTGGGTATGAGGTTGGCTAGCAAACCCATCCCGTAAAAATAAATAAACACCACTGCTACCGAAACTTTGATCCTCTGGCTTGAAACCGCCTTATGTTCCACTGGCGACGTAAAGGAATAAAAGAAAAGACAGATCATTGATTCTTAGGGAGAAAAAAAGGAGGAGAAATAATTCAAAATGCGAAAAAAAATCAATCACTTACATTATCCAAATTATTTTCATAGTGATCAGATTTACCATTCTGTTGCCTATTATGAATATTTTCCATTGATGAGGAGTCAAAATCAGCGACTTGTTTTGCTTCTTCTTGTTCAACATATTTAACTCGTCTGAACAAAAAAAAGATAAAGAAATATGCTAGTAAGAAGAAGACTTCGAAAGGCATGAGATTATGTTGGCATATTAGACTCTGCGTCATTGAGAACGAGAATTTTGAGCCAGCCATATCACCTGTCGTCTCCAGCCGCCATTGGTTTTTACCATCCTGAGGACTTAAACTAGACAGCGGTGTACTCCTGCTTATGTGGCTGGGTGAACCTAACCGTCATGGTTTTCATTCATTGAAAGTAATATGAACTGATGACGATGTTTTCAGCACATTTGATTACTACTGTTCATAATCATATCAAGCTGCTCACTCACATAACTTTCTAACTTCGTTTATATAATTCCATCACTATTTTTCATCGCTTGGCTTGATTGGTGATAGTATTTTCCATTTTTCCAGTATGAGTGATGAGTCATTCCTATTACACGTAATGGGTGTAGACTCGATGAACCAAGATTCAGTATTCGACCTCTCTCTATCTCCACTTACCTATATTACTTCTTAGAATTTTAACTTTATCTTACCGTATTGGGTAGTTGTGTGTTAATGTATGCAGCGCGATAGCTGAGCTTTTTTCTAAATTACTTAGCTTCGTGAGTTCAATCATTCTAACCTTAGCTAACTTCTTATGTACTGATAATCTCAATACTCCTGATCTACTAGTTTGACCAATGTGGTTGACCTCGCTCACAGTCATTGCAAGGTATTTTGTAAATTATATTATTTTGTCTAATTAAGTCAACCTACTGCGTCCTTAAACCTACCTACAGAGCTTGTCCTATCTGAGTGAGTTTGTTGGTTGAAATGCAACTCTAATTCCTGCTTTATTAAGAATCCTACGTAGGGCCTGAGATGTCCCTTCCCTCCTTATATGGTAAAACTACTGTAGATGTCTTATATTATCTCTTATTTATGGAATCATTATTAGTTTCACCATTATTTTTATTTTGGCCTTTTACGATATTCCTAATGAATTTTATAGGATAGTTATTTGATACCAACGCTTCTTCTTCTATCTGTTTCATTTCATCATTTCGGTCTTTTCTTGTGCTACTTAGTGCTATTGCTCGGTTTGTTAAACACGTAACTAAGCCTGCCTTAACAGTTAACGGATGAGATGAATTGAAGTTTAAATATCTGTTAGAATGCGTTGGCTTTGCCTTTTTATAAACACTAGTGTGCAGTCTGCCTCCTTCTATTCGTTTTATTTTACAATCTAACATCATAGTTAATTCTCGTTGCTCATTTTCGGCTTCAAATGTGAATTTTATTCCCTTTACTGAAGTGAGTTGAAAACTTAACGAAATCAGCAGAGCAGTTTATACACATGAATAGAGAAACTGCCTCATACGCAATCAAGCCAACACAACAGACACTGCGTACAGCAGCACAGAATAACAACAGCAGTAGAGTATCATGGCACAAAAAATTCAAATTTTTTCCCTCTATGGTCAATAATCAATATTTTGTGACAGCTTTAACTGAAAGAACTTTAAGATTTTCAAATTCTGCAATTAAAACAAAATGATAAAAGAATTCTTAGAAGCATTAATAGTATTAATCTTTTCATATATATACACATTTTGTATTTCTTGTTAATTCCCTATATTGAATCGAAACATCGATATGTCGAGTACTCCTATGGACATTTCGACGACAACCGAGGTTAAACACAATGTTACATTTGGTGGATGGTGGTGCCGTTTGAAACGATAGGTTCTGGATTTAAATGTTCAATGGAGACATCAACTAACATTCATTCACTTGTGAGAATGTCGGTACATCCCCAGTTGATAGCAACTCACAAACAAGTAAAAAAATGTTGCCTATCCTGGATTGGTTGGAGGATTTCATCATGAGCTGACATCATTTAGAGAACAATTGGAAAACCACCACCAGGGACAGCCAGCTTTTTCGTCTCACTGGTATGGGACTCTTCATCAGTCTCTCTCTGTCTGGATTCAACATAGAACTCGGCACCAAAGTGCAGCAGTTCGAGTTGCCACCTTCCAAATAGCACACAAAGGTAGACAGGAAAATGAGTGAAGAGAATCAATACAATTTAGATAAGTATAAGAGTGAAACAGAATGAGTAATGGTAGAAAGGAATATGAAAGATTACAGAGACTGAATACATCTGCGTAATCCATTGACAACGAGGATTTTGAGCCATGTCACCTATTGTCTCCAGCCATTGATTCTCAGAGTCCCGAGGGCTCCAAACCAGAAGTCTGCATCTCCCTACCTGACTCAGTTTAACTGTCAAGGACTTCATGGATTGATGAGGTCATGTTTTTGTTTGGCCACCACTTATTCTTCACTCCAACCTGCACCTATATCAGCTAGTAATTCCCGTCGGGGGAGGCGATGGTTAGGCATGCACAGCACGTGACCTAACCATCTAAATCTATGTAGCTTTATAGCCCCGTCGATTGATTTCCCCTCTTTGCTAAACACCCTACGCCTAACGTCAACATTACTTACCTCATTATACCACCTAACGTGAGAAAGAGATCGTAGACATCTATGATCAAAAACAGTCAACCTTTTCATGTCTTCAACTCGTATTGGCCATGTTTCAGCGCCATAGAGAAGGATTGAGCGAACTGCTAAGCAGTACATACGTCCCTTGGTTGATAGCCGGATGTCACGCCTAAGCCAGAGATGGTATAAGTTAGCGAAAGCAGCTCGAGTTTTTTGGATCCGTGTTGAGATTTCGTGGACAATCAGTCCATTGGTGCTGATACAACTTCCCAAATAGGTGAAGTGGTCAACATATTCTACCACTGAAACCAGCAACACCCGGTATTCCCAGCCGGTCACCCATGCATATACTAACCAGGCCCAACGTTGCTTAACTTCAGTGATCGGACGAGAACCGGTGCTCTCAACGTGGTAAGGTCTCATCCACCGCCACAGCTAGAACCCAGGACCTTCTGGTTACAAGGCGAGCAAGCTCGTAGACCCTTAAGCCACTGGGCCAACCCATGAGTTCTAACTTCTGCCAATTCATGACATAGCACAACCACTTCGTAATGTCTTCTTCGATAAGTAACTGTTCTCACCTTCAACCAATCAAACAAAATCCCTACAAAAAACCAGTACTTGAAAATATCCTGGATTCCACAGCTATTAATCACCATCCAACAAAAATATAATTTTATTTAATTTTGTTCCATTTACATTTATTTTCTTGTAAAAACTTTTTTTTATTTTACGATTCAATATGAACACCGGTTCTTTAACGTGTGCTCATAAACTGTGTCAACATTTAAGCAGTGAAGTGAGTAAATAACAAAGGTCAATATTGTATGTATACATTATATCATATCACTTAGTTTAAGATTATGAATGTGAGTAGAGTATTAGTGTTGAAATACAACACTACATGCTGTAGAAGTACCAACTTAACTTATGATGATAAGGTCTCTGTTTGCTTTCTTTATTGTCAACACGTTTATTGTTCAGTTGCTGTTATAATAATAATAATTATTATGATTATTACTTCTCAATAGTTGGTTTGTAAGGATTAAATTTGTTTTTACAAGTTTGACCACGGATTGATATCACTTAAAGAACCATTGAAAACCAACCACAGGGAGTACTGAATAGCTGTTTCATCCGTGTTTGTGAATCCTTGGCTGTACGCACCCACCACCAGGGTTCGAACCCAGGACCTTCCGGCAAACTTCTAACTTCTTCCAATTCAGGATTTTAGCGCGATCGGCACCAACCAATGTCATCGGCGGGAAATCCATCCTCACACTTGACTGGGTGGACCTCACTGATCAAGGCGTCTCACTAGAACTCCAGGAAACTCCGTCATGTAGCAGGTCCTTACGGAGCATCAGATTAATTTTCAAAAGTTTGGTTTGTAAGGATTAGATTCGTTTTTATGAGTTTATTACTGTTATTTTTAAGTTGATGCATTTATTCCCCTTGATGAATTTGAATAAAGCAAAAACAACAGTGGTTTGTGCAGAATAATATGGTACCATCATCTATTTCGTCGGCTTCTCATCAGCTGCTCACAGCCTAAATAAATTATGAGGTTTGCGTACAGAAAAGTTTTAACATACTTGCAAATTCTTACATATTGTCAGTTGACAAAAAGTTCCACAGTAAGTGAACAGTGCTCAGAAAATTGTGCTTATATAGTTTTTACACAGGCAGTAAAGGAGAATATGCTCTACAGAGAAACTAGAGGAAGGTGCTGAAAAACAACGGTTACCCTCAAAAATTCATGAACAAATATGGAAGATATGAAGGCTCACAAACATCAAACAAATCACAGTGGGGAAATAAAGCCTGTCTTCATTCAAGTAGATTTTAAAAGTGAAAACATTGCAGCACTGGTCAACAGAAGACTGAGTACGTCACTAGCCAGAGCCTATCGTGCAGCTAAGTTGGTTCCCATCCATCGAACAACATGCTCTTTGGTGCAGTCAAAAGTCAATAGATACCCTTCTCATGTTAACTCCAACTGTGTATACAAATTTACGTGTATCTGCGGGAGCAGTTACATTGGGAGAACAGAAAGAAGGGCACACCTTCGTTTTTCTGAACATGTGCCAAAAAGCCTACGTCTCAAGGGAACAAACTCTTATAATAGCGCTATTACTAGACATCCCCTCGACACGAGTCATGAGGTAGAAATTAAGAAATCCTTTAAAATTATCAATGGACAAAGGAGTTCCATTCTCCTCAAGTTTTCCGAAGCATTCTCTATCAAACGCTTGAAACCAGATTTATATGTTCAGAAAGAAGCAGTTATTAATCTTTCCTTGCCCTGGTAGCTGAATGTCTTTATTATCTCATCTGAATACGTAATCTTTGTCTTTAACCTCACCCCCTTTCATAATCTGTAATTTTGCTTGTCTCTTGTTTCTATGATTTGAGTTGAACTCAGAACATTGTTACCTAATTTATTAGTCACCCTACATCTTTCGCACCTCTCGTCTTTATTACGTAACTCCTTTACCACTGTATGCATACATTTAT